TTTCATATTAATGATCCACCAATCAACCCATTATAAAAAATTTGAATTATTAACCAATCTGGAAATGCATGGTATGGACACTTTCTAAGGAGATCTTTGAATCTTTCCCAAGCTTCATAAATTGATTCCCCTTCAAACTGGCAAAAAGATGTAATATCATTTCTAAGCTTAGCAGTTTTTGAGCAGTTTTTTATGTTGGAAAATATTTAGCAATTTTTTTTTGTGACAAATCTCCCCAAGTTCTGATAAATCCAGGTGTTAACGAGTTTAACCACATCTTAGCTTTATCCCTGGATGAAAAAGGAAAAAGTCAAAGTTTGATGGCATCATTTGACACTCCATCATATTTAAAAGTAGCACACAATTCTAAAAAACTAGCAAGGTGTAAATTAAGATCTTCAGTTGGTGTTCCCCCAAACTCATTATTTTGAACCATTTGGATAATAGCAGGTTTAAGCCCAAATGAATTGGCAGCTACAATAAGGCTTTGTATACTAAAATGAATTTCATCTGTTGTAGGATTAGCATAATCTCTTAAAGGTCTCTGATGATGTTCATTTTCATTTCCAGCATTACCCAAATTGCAAGCGATTTTGCTAATATTATCTATCTCTTTTTATTGTTTTCAAATTTTTTTAATAGTTCTTTCTAATTCAGAATCATAAGGTACTAAATTTTCAGATCTTACACTAGACATAAACAAATAAAATAAGTAATTGAAAATAAGCAAATACAATTAAATAAGAAAATGTTCAAGCTAAACTAGAAACACTCTTTTTTCTAGTTCTTTTTCTTAAATAAAAAAAATAAATTACTACTATTTTCCGTTACTTCCCCAGCAACGGCGCCAAAAACTTGATGCGGGCAGACTTAGTGTGTTAATTTTGCAACTATTTTTCAATATTACAAAATGCACACGATAGATATAATAATAAATATGTAATATAATCATAACAAAAATAACTTTAATAAAAATAATTTATCTTTAATACTCTTTTAAACTACCAAATTCCTTTTAAAAATAACACAAATATATTTATCACTCAAGTAATAAAGGGCTCTAGTGGAGTCTTAGATATCTATCCCACAGAGAGGTTGGAATTGTTATAGATAGTTCTTAAGATTATAAATATAATTTAAACTAAAAAAAAGGTAAAGTGTGAAGTTTGAATATTAACTACTAAAATGAATATTATGTAAAATGTAGTTGAAAGACAAAGTTAAATGAACCAAAAACTAAACTTTCAAAATAAAATTACGAAAAGGAAACGAAATTTTTGTTAAGGGAAAATTCAAATTTAAGAAAGCATCATTCTCCTTACAATGAACATATGGATTGTGAAGAAATTAAAATCATTTTGAAAATATATATATAAACTATTTTGTATCAAATGGGAGCAATCTTATTCTTTATTCTCTTTCTAACTGCTATAAAGAACATTGACTAATCCAGAGTTTGGTCCCTAATTCCGTGGTTAGGCTGGGAGGATACCAGCTGCCACTCCAGACACGTCTCCCTCCCCTGAGGGCTAACAATCTCGCATTAGTTTCAAATCAATTGGATCAAATTGGGGATTTTAATCTATCACTTTAAAATCTCCAATTTTGCATCCAACAAAGTATATTTTCCTATTTATTTGCACTTAATTCCATGGATGACATACTCTTCCATGAAATCAAATGGGATTCTCCTCATGTTGTAGAAATTATAGCCCTTTAATAACATATGTTTATCAACACATTTTAAAATTTCAATTGGCCAGATCAAAAAGTAAATCAAGATTGGAGCAAGATTGGAGTTCAAATCATCACATTCAAAACCGTAGAAAAAAAAAATCTATTATTCACAGAACCATATAAAGAAGAATACTCAGACTTCATGAGAAGAGAAGATATTTCAAAGTAGGGAGAAGGATAAAGAAGACTACTCAGAATTCATTAGAATAATATGACAAAACACGGATTTCATATATAAAAATAATTTTACAAAATAAAAGAAAGAAAAGACAACTTATCTCACAATCCTCACAATCCTTCCCAAGAATCCTTCCCAGGCAAATCCCTAAAAGTTCTTTCCAAGTCTTTCTTTCTTTACAAGCACACTCAATTCTCTCTTAGAAGTGTAATGAAGAAGAAATCTCTCATTTTCCCTCTCCTTTTACAGCCCTAGAAGAAAATCTCCAAGCCATTTACTTTCTCTCTCTATCTCTCCCTCTTACCTTTCACGCCACCCCCTTTTCACGTCACACACAAACTCCTTAAAGTCTTCTTCTTTTATTTTGGGTTGCCTCCTTTCGAAAAGAATTCAAATTTCCCTCCAAAAGTCAATTCTTTTGAATTCAAAAGATGTGTCATTTGATTCAAGAGACATATCCCTTCATAAAAGAATCTTCCAATATGTCTAGATGCATTGAATTACTCCAAATGGTGTTTGAAACAAGTGTCCCATTGAAAATTTGCACAAAATTCGACTTGAACTGCCTTAATCCGCAAAAAGTCGTCTCTGGCGCATCTGGCTCCATATCTGGCGCATCATGTGCCGATATCTGGTGCATCATGTGCCGAGGCTCTATCAAATGGCGCATCATGCGCCAAGTTGGCGCATCATGCGCCAGATTCCCAAAATTCGTTGTTTTGGCTCCAAATTTCATCCTTTTTGCTATTTTTGCTCTAAATGTCTAAAAATGTTATACCTATAACAAAAATATCCTTCTTTAAAGTGCAATATCACCAAAAATAGACATAAAATACATATTTAAAACATATTATTTTGATGTATCATTGGGTATATTATTTATATCATTCAAGGTTTTATACGATGATTAAGAATATACTATTTGTCCTAATGAATTTTCTTCTAACACCTGAGGCGTTTGAGAATTGTTCATTCTACATTGATCTATTTTCTTTGAAAGAGCGGCAATTTGAGAAACTATCATGGTTATTACATCATAATCATGAATACTAGCTACTTTTTTTGGATTCACCCGTTCAAAGGGTCATTCAAAATTATTAGTAGTCATCTCCTTTATTAAAGAATATGCCTCTTCAAAAGGATGATCCACAGCAGCGACACCAATAAATGATCTAAGAGATCCTACTAATCCATTATAAAATGTTTGAATTATTAACCAATCAGGTAAAGAGTGATGTGGATATTTTCTAAGGAGATCTTTAAATCTTTCCCAAGCTTCATATATTGATTCTCCTTCAAACTGATAAAAAGATGTAATATCGTTTCTAAGGTTAGCAATTTTTTATGGAGGGAAATATTTTAACAAAAATTTTTGTGATAATTCTCCCCAAGTTCTGATAGATCCAGGTGCTAACGAATTTAACCACGCCTTAGCTTTATTCCTTAGTGGAAAAGGAAAAAGTCTAAGTCTGGAGGCGTCATTCGACACTCCATCATATTTAAATGTAGCACATAATTCTAGAAAACTAGAAAGATGCAAATTAGGATCTTCATTCGGTGTCCCACCAAATTGATTATTTTGTACCATTTGGATAATATCATGTTTAAGTTTAAATGAATTAGCAGCTACATCAAGATTTTGAATAGTTAAGTGAACTTCATCTGATGTAGGGTTAGCATAATCTCTTAAAGGTCTAGTTTGATGTTCATTTTCTTTCCTTTGATTATTTAAAATGCTCGTCATTTTGTTCGACATTTTAAATTCTTTTGGTTACTTCTAAATTTTTTTAATAGTACGTTCTAACTCTAAATCGTAAGGCACTAAAGCTTCAGATCCAATACTACGAATGCAAAATCACACGAAACACTCTTTAAAGTAAGCACACACAATTGTAAATTAAGAAATAAAGATTTTCAAATACTACTAATTTTACTGTTACCGTATTTATACTTTCACCGGCAACGGTGCCAAAAACTTGATCGCCACTTTTTTATATGCTCGGTTTTATCAAGTTGATACCACTACTTGAAGATTTTAATCTCCGGCAACGGTACCAAAACTTGATGTGTATTTTCTATTTCTAATTAATTTTATATCTTTTAATTAGTCACAATTATATAAACGCAAGTATACGATACAGGGCACTAGTGGAGTCCTGGTAATCGATCCCACAGGAAAAGTTACAAAACTTTAAAACGTAAAACGTAGTACAGAAATCCAATATTCATATCACAATGCGCGTACTGTAAATATTAAAGCTGTTAAAGTGCAAAGATGGTTAAACATTTAAGTTTACTAAAGTTACTTTCTAAGCTTCTAAACAAAGTTATCTAACACAAAACTAAGTTTAGTATTGAAAGTTTCAAATATGGAAAAGGCGTCCTCCCCCCCTTACAATGATCCCCCTTACAATGATATTATGGTGAGTGAAAGATAAAAATTAGTGGAGACCTTGTATTGTGCCAAATAGAAGCATACATTTTCTTTACCCTCTTCCGAGTGCTATAAAAAATATTGGCTAATCCTAGGTTTAGTCCCTAAATTGGTGGTTAGGCTGGGAGAATACTGGCTCTCACTCCAGAGCTTCCACTTCCCTTCGCCTGAAGGCTAACCCTTGTTTTAGTTTCCAACCACTAGGACCAAATTGGGGATTTTAGTCTGTCACTCTAAAAGCTCTAATTCTACGCCCAATAAAATATAAATAAAATATATTTCCCTAATTTCCCTATTTATTTGCATTCAATCCCCGTGAACTTCACCATCAATGGAATTTGAATATGATCTTCACTTTTGTTATAGAATACATAGTCCTTCCGGATCGTATGTTTCACAACAAGTTTTAACAATTCAATTGACCAGATCAAAAAGTAAATGAGGCACAAAGTGTAAAATCATCACAACATTTTAGCATTAACTAGGCACATCCAATCTAAATCATCACTTTACCATACCTCGTTGTAAGTAGAAAGACAAAGAAATCTACTCATAATTCATAAGGAGATACGACAAAACAAGAATTTTATATATAAAAGCAACGTCATACAAACAATAAGAAGTAAGTACAACTTATCTCAATTTCTTCCCCAAGCAAATCCCATGAAGTTCCTGTGAATTATCTTCTCTCTTTACAACAACACTCAATTCCCTCTTTAGATAAGTAAGGAAGAAGCAATCTCTCACTCTCCTTCTCCTCCCACACTCCTTAAAGAGGAATCCTTCACAAGACTCTCACAACACTCTCCAGACAAGACAAAACACTCCTCATAAGACTCACACCAACCCTAGACTCTCACAACACTCTCTAAACACGACAAAACACTCCCCACAAGACTCACACCACCAAACTAGGGCGCCAAAAACACTTTAAATTCGTTTAGAACAAATTTCCCAAGAGATTCCTCAAGCAACCCTCCAAAATCCATCCAAATACATTGAATTCAGGCTCAAACCGACATCGGACGCCTTTGGCGCTGGATAGGGCGTCGTCGGCGCTGGATAGGGCGTCCTCGGCACTGGATCGAGCGTCGTCAGCGCCAGTAGGCAGATTTGTATAACTTGCCTCTTTTCGCTCCAAATTCGTTCCTTTTTGTTTTCTTGCTCCAAATGTCTTAAATCATCACACCTGCAACAAAACATAAAAAATACATTTCTTTAAAGTGCAATATCACAAAAAATGAATAAAAATACATATGAAAAATCCAACATATTTTTGGTGTGTCAATTAGTAAGATTCTTAATTAGTCTATAGATTTTCTTCCAACTGGCACAGAGGATTCTTTTATTCTCTCCCAACCACAAGAATCTGTTGAAGAGTCTTCCCAACTCCAACTGGATACCCTTATTCATTCTTGTCACTTGTAAAGTATAAAGTGGAATTAAATTTAGCACACTCATAAGAATGTGAGAATTTCTCCATAATACAGAAAAGTGTTAGACCAGCAATGTATGTGAGCTTTGATTTTCCCAATCACCTCATTAAATTGATTAGAGGCCCTCCCTATCATAGTTTAACACCAAGGTACTTCAGAGGGAATTCAGAGTAAGTGAAACTAGTATAGTTTTTTATCCGCATTTTGGTTTTTTATCCGCATTTTGGTCATAAGTGTTGTTATCCTAGCTATAAAAAAATTGACATTTGGCCTTGTTGAAGTCCATCCCAGAAAAATCTTGAAAATTAATAAGCAACTTGTATGTTCTCAAACAGTTCTATTGGTGGCATTAATAAAGAATATGGCATCATCTGCACATGCTAAGTGAGCAACAAGTAAATCAGCTTTGTGAGTATATATGAAGTGTCTATGCTTCATTTGGATCTCATTTATCTTCCTAGAGAAATAACCAAAAGCTAAGATGAAAAAAGTGGAAGAGAGGGGATCACCTTGTTTTATACCTTTAAATGATTTAAAATGTCCATATGTTTGTCTATTTAGAGGAATTGTATAGTAGTTCTCTCTGAGCCATTTTCATATCAAATTGCAGAATTCATCATTGAAACCCCTTTGCCTTCATAACTAAAAGTACAAAATTCCAATTGATTGTATCTTAGGCTTTTCTCATATCAAGTTTAATAATTAAAATGTCGCATCTATATTTTTTATTCAAATCCTCAATTAGTTCATGTGCCACGAGGATGTTATCTGCATTGCTTCTACCATTGATAAACGTTGCTTGATTTTTTAGAAATCAAATGAGGTAAATATGGTTGAATCCTTGTAACAATGATCTTGCTTATCACCTTAGAAATGGTTGTGGTTAAGTTGATAGGTCAAAAGTGATCCCACTTATCTGTGACTGCACTTTTAGAAATAAGTGTGTCAGTGGATGTAATGAAGCTTTTGAGAGATTCCTCACCCCTAGAGTAGCTTTGCATAGCTTCAACCAACTCCCCTTCAATAATGTCCCAACATTTTTTTGTGGAAGTTTGTTGTGAAGCCATCTAGTCCAGCAATTTTTTTTATTGTCTATGCTATTGACACATCTCATATCTCAACTTCACTTGTTATATTTGTTAAGTGGAGGTTCTCAATAATTTTCCTGCAGTCCTCAAAAACAACTATCACATTATCAAATCTCCTGAGCAAAAAGTTACCGAAAAAAAAAGATTGCATTAGAAGAGATGTCTTCTTGGTTGTTGAGCCAACTAACATCCTCCTTTTTAATTTTAAGTATAGCATTAGTCCACCTTTGTTTGATACAAGCATGGAAATAATGAAGTTCATGTCATGGAAGTGAACAGTAACTGCCTTTTGTTTTAGAAAATTCTCCTCCCACTTAATAGCTTCTAATAATTTCTTTTGAGCAGCTAAGAGTGTGTTCAACATCCTCCATCCTGGTTACTCTATGTTCCAAATGACAGAATTTTTCCTCAACCGTTTTCAACTTTAATTTGAGATCGCCAAATTTTTTCGAATTCCACACTTCTATTGTTCTTGCAAATTTCTTGTGTAAACTTCATATTGTATACCAAACATTGCCACTTTGAGTTCTATTCCATGCTCTTCTGATGCAATTCTGAAAGTCTTCATGATTCAACCAAGTATTAAAGTATCTAAAGGGACTTCTGATAGGTTTTTGCAGGGAGAAGATAGATAACAGTAGGACTGTGGCTGAGCCAATCTTGGATAAATGCTCGACTTCACTGAAATGAGGACAGCCACTTCAGGTTGGCCATTATTCGATCTAATCTTTCAAAAACTTTCCCTCTTTGGGAAGTGTAAGCAAGAACAGAAAATCCCTGACATCTTCTAATGCAACATTGAACTAATTGATAATGGTTGGGTTAATTTTTATGCCACCATGTTTCTCCTAGATGGATATCATATTAAAGTCTCCACCAGCAAACCAATGGACACATAAATTGGTGTCAAAGTCACAAATCACCCCATAACTCCTCCCTAGAGGTCTTAGAGCAGCCAGCATAGACGAAGGTGGACCAAGTGGTATTTTCATCAAAGTAAGCTCAGCATGTAGAAATTGGAAATTTTCTATCAAAATATAGACTAATCCCCAATTTTCCAAAATAACAAGATTTTTTATCGTAATTTTCTTTGTCGTGAAACATTCTCAGCTTCCTCAACACAAGTTTTTTATTTTTTGTAGGCTCTAGAATTGTTAAAACTCAAAATGTTGTGGATCCTTGTTAAGTTGTTGAGCCTATCAAGGGAGTATAGATCGCCAATTCCCCAGAATTCCATATCAATAGTTTAATCATTAAGAATGCACCTGCTCTACTCTAGTAAGACTAGGAGGAGTGAGGTCTCTCAACTGATTTGATGGTATATTGATGGTTTCCCCTTCCTGTAAAATAATGTTGTTGGGATTTAAATTTCTAAGTTCATGACTACCTTCAGTTTTCTTTCATCTAGTTTTTTTGGATAATTCATTCCTCCTCAAGCTCAAGTCTGACGGCTTTCAAATTTCCTTACATGTTATCTAATTCATGTTGTGTAATATGTAGGACTGGTGGATCAAGCATATGTATAACTCAATCCACGCTAACATGTAGATTACCACTCTCCTCTTCAGAAGTGTCAGGCATGACATTAATTCATCGGTCATTGCAACCAGGATCTCTTCTTGTTGTTCTCCTTCCCAACTCATCCCCTCCTTACCTTTCTGCTTTACATCTGCATTTGTATTCAGTTTTTGACCCACCTGTTCTTGCTCGGTTCCCAGCAAATCTCTAGCATTGATCAGCCGATTCATTTGTTGGGTTTCCACCTTAATAACCTCAATGTGTATGTTATTTTTGTTGAATGCAACCTATCCCTCTTCTTCCTCATCCTGGAAAACCCGAGTAGTCTGAATTATTCTTAATTCAGGGTGTGAAACATAGCATTTATCCAAAGGATTGCCAAACATTCTACATTTGCTGCAGTAATATATGCTTTGTTCCACCACCAATTGCTGCCAGTACCTGTTATGTGTGGAGTCAATCCAAATCTCCTCAGCCACTGGTTGAGTGATACCTCTTTTTATCAAAACCCAAGGAGCATAAGGTCAGATCAAATTGAATGTGGGAAGGTCTAATTTAAGTGGTCTGCCAAACATAGCCCAAACATAGACGAGGATTTGCTTGTTGAATAGATGCAACTTTGGACCCGGGAATTTAAACCACATGGGAACAATAGGTGGTTCAGATTGTGGATCAAAATCTGGTGACAATTTAAGAACCTTCATATACTTATTCTCAACGTTCAGTAGCATTTTTGGAAAATATCCGTGCCTATTCCTCTTCCATGCATGGGTGGACCATGATGTGCCTACCATAAAAGAGTCCTCTTCCCTGCAAGGTTCAACAGGCTTGGAAGTATCAGCATCTATAAGGAAAAGAGCTGGTTTCCCATTCTTCCGGTCAGCCGTGGGCGCAAAACTTTCATCTCCTTCTAAATAATCACCACCTTTTGTGGGAAAACCAAAGTAGTATATTGGGAGTGGGATGGTCGGAAACAAATTATGCAAAAAGAGAGCTTTTCCGTGATAAGGAAGCTACCATGCTGGTGGAACAGTAACCCGGGAAGCTCAGCGCCAATGGAACAATAAAACTTCAACACCATACCATAGAAAAGCACCTTGCAAGAAAACCATCTAAATATTATGCCATACTTCTGCACTACAACTGATAACTCTCACATTTTTCTTTTATTCACAATTAGAATTTTTTTTTTTCCAGGGAATTCCAATCTCATGATCTCGTTTTTTATTCAAATGCACGTTAGTTTCTATCAACAATTAGGTGGCCCGACTGATATATTTTTAGTTACATCAAGAATTGGAGTACATGTTAAGCCTAGCCTACTCGCTTATGTAAATATCCAAAATAATGCATAGTTAAAATGACCGAATTCACAAGATCACAGCATGATAAAATGCAATGCATATTATGTTCAACTAATAAATTTTATTGATAACAACATAATACAGAGGATTACATCTTATAACTGATAGAACATTCCTAAACCTCCAAATAATGCCAAAAAATAAAGCAAATGATTCTAAATAATGTCGTTATATAGCACTCCTCCCTCCAAAGTTATTGCATCAACAAAGAACAAATGCATGCACTAACAAAGTAAGAAAATGAAATAATAATGAAGCAAACTAAATAGACTTAATGCCAAAATGCAAATAGGCATAAATAGAACGGCTAAGACGATAACAGATGGAGGCTACAAAGCACAAAGCTTAGAAAACATAGCATAGTCAAAACAAAGCAACCTTTGTAAAGAAAAAAAGGCACCCCACATTTTTTAATTCAGCATTTCCATCAATGTAAGACTAATGCAAATAAATTTCTCACAAAGAAACTTAAAGAAAATAATCCAATCCATAGATAAAAAAAAGACTTTCCAACAGAGGCAATTCAACACTTATCCTTCTTCCTCATAGACCACCAGCTTAGGGTACTATAACGTCAATGGAAAAAAGCATTACTCAAACCAATGTGTAGACGAAAATTACTAAACATATCAGGTAATGAATTATAGAATTGGCTCACGTAATGATAATATTGTGGCCAAACTCTAGTAGGTAGTGCAAGTTTGCAACCAACCCCTCTTCCACTCATCACTATCTCCACTTAATTCAATTTAACCGAGTTTTGAGGCCCTCAAGGAGAACCTATCATCCTCTTAATTTCTCTCCATCGGATATTGGTACCTCCTCAGTTATGGGGTTGAGATCTCCTGGGGTGCTCGTGGCATCTCCTCCTCCTCGTGCTCCCTCCTACTAATGTTGTCTATGTCTAGGTACCATCAACAGAATCTTGTTTCCCGTGAGTACCGAATTTAGGTAGATGAGTTCTTCAAAGGTGCTCATATGGACCTCAGCCTGGACACAGGCCATGAATGAAGGAGGGCTAAGCAAGCCCCCTAGTTGTGGTAGGCTTGGTGGTGTGCAAGATGTTACTATAGATTGCCTTAGCAACTTCGAACATCATGTGCCTCTGGATGGTAAAGTTGAGAGTGGCACAAAACAAAGTTTTACAAAATAAAACATAAATTGAAGACTAAGACAAGATCAAAGGCAAAGCAAGGAAGAAGAACTCGTCATCCTTAAAGAATATGAAAAGGTTAACCCATCATCTTCAATCACTGTAAATTATTTATTTCTATTATATATCATTAGTCACATGATTATTATTACATTATTGCCACAGTTTGATAAACATTTTTGCATATATCAATGCATTCATCATCATCCAATTGAAATCTCATAGAGACACTTATTTCTTCATCAATGTTATAAAAATAGACACTTCATTCAGTGTTATGGGAGCAAGTGTTAGCCACACGTTAAAAGCTCTAAAATTAGCCTAAACAACATTGATACTGATTTTAGAGTTGTAAAACACTCGCCTTCTCTCGAGAGAATTAGATCAGGCAAATAATAGTCTCCACCATCAAAGAAAAGACTCCAACACAGTAATATCATCATATAAAAAAAAAATAAATAAAAATAAAAATAAAAATAAATTAATATCATAAAAATTATATTTTTGGAACTTAACGTACAGGATTGTGATCATATCACATTTCCAATTTTTGTTAGAAATTTTATTTAGGATTTCCAAAAGATTTTTTTTTTATTTGCATTAAAAGATTAGCTATCGCATCGCAGCATTAAGGTCAAATTATTAGTATCTGAATTGAAAAAAGGTTTACCAATAAGCATCATCATTAATCCTAGAAAAAGAGACTTGGAAAGAAAAGGCCGAAGGCAACGGGTAAAACAATAAAATCAATGCACCATATTAGAAACATAAGCATGATTAGAGGAACAACATATCAATGAAATAAAAGCCAAGAATGGATTTTCATTAATATTGAAATATGACACAAATACATACCTTAATGTACAACATAAAATGCTAATCAGAGTGGAACCCGCCACACCTCGGTCATTTTGTATACAAGGGAAACTTTCATGATAAAGATCTCTAGGAGACAACTAATTAAAAATGTGAGTTAGCCTTTTCTAATGGTTCGCCTCCTAGTTTTAGGCTTACAAGAATATCGTATGTTCTATCATCAGGCTCAAGTCCGATATCAAGCATTTCATCATGCAATCTGAAGGCCTCTTGGAAATTGCCTTCTCTAAAATATCGAGAGATAAGTATGTTGTAGACAAGAACATTAGGTCGCACACCTTCCTTATCCATATCGTGTAATATCTTGTAAGCATTTGCAAAATCTCCTTGATCACAAAAACCATGTGTCAATGCAGTGAAAGTGACAGAATCTGGGACATTACCACTTGTTAACATCTCAGAATACAAATTTGATGCAACAAGTAGATTACCAGCTTTCAGTGAGAAATCAATTAAGGTTGTATATGTGGCTGTATCACATGCAACTCCTTCTTCCTTCATTCTCCTAAGCAAACCGAACGAAGCATCCAAATTGTTCAATTTTTTATAACCATTCATAAGGCAATTATAGATGACAGCAGTTGGTACAAGGCCAGTTTTTGAAATCTCATCAAGAAGTGAGAGAGCACGTTCCATATTTCCCTCATTACAAAAACCAGCAATAAGAGCATTGTAGGCTGCAATATCACACTCAAGGTTTTTTCTTCTCATTTCAGTCAACAACTTCTGGGCAACATCAGTGCAACCACTTTTGCAGTACCCATCTATTAGACAAGTGTAGGTAATAACATTAGGAGGAATGCCATCAGCAAACATTTTATGAAAAAATGATGCTGCAATATTCATCATGCCTCTTCTGCAAAACCCATCAATGATACAATTGTAGGTTCTGCCGGTAGGGATGAACCCCTCCCCCCTAAACTTGCGCAGCAATTCAAATGCTTCAGACATTTGACCAGCTTTGCAGAGGCCATCTATAAATGCATGGTAGGTATGATCATTACAAGCAATGCCAGCCTCATGCATTTTGTTTAAGAGATCAAAGGCCCTAGCAAATTCCTCTTTTTTCATATACCCATCGATTAAAATTGTGTAAGTTCTGACATTATGTTTGATACCTTTCTCAAGCATTTGGGTAAACAACTTAGCTGCTGAAACCCATATCCCGTTGTTTGCAATGACCAAGAAGTAGATTATTGTAAGAAACAACAGTAGGCTCCACCCCTCTGTCCTCCATCTTAACCCAGAGAGCACAAGCTTCGTGAACCCTACCAGACTGAGATAACCAGTGAATAAGATCATTATAAGTGAACACATTTGCTATACCTGCAGCAACTGCCTCATCAAATAAACACAACGCCTCCTTAGATTTACCACTTTTTAAGAAGCCTTGTAACAAAGAATTTGTGATGAAAACATTAGGAACATTACCCATCTGCTTCATATCACAGTAAAGTTCATATGCCTTCTCAAGTTTTCCACTTTTAAAACAGCCCTCAATCAGAGTTGCATAAGTGACATTATTAGGGTCAATCCCCTCTTCACGAATAGTCAAAAGCAAACTAAGGCCACTGTCTAAATCTCCTTGAACACAGAATCCCCTCATCAGACTAGTAGCAACAATTATATTCCAAGGCAGGCCAGCACTAAGCATCTCATCTTTTAATCTTAATGCATCCACCATGTTCCCATCCTTCACACAAGCTCCAATCACAGTGATATACACAAATTCAGAAGGAACAAAACCCTTCAATTTCATCTCACTCATGAGCTCGCATGCCCTCTTTGAATGGGATTTTTTACAAACTGCCTGTATGATCTTGGTATAAGCACGTGCATCAGCCTTCAAACTCCTGTCAAACATATCCCGGAAGTATGCCTCAGCCTCATCTGGCTTCCCTTCTTTTATGCAAGCTTGCATCATGATGTCAAAAGTACAACAATCAAACTCCATTTCGAGAGCTAACATCTCCTGATAAAAATTACGAGCTCTGGAAAAATAATTAAGCCGCACTAAAGCGGCCAACAGATCATTTCTAGCCTTAACCCCTGGAAAGATCCCATCATGAACCATTTGGCTAAACGCTTCCACGGCATCGTTCACCCTCCCTGCATGGACATAGAAGAATAGCAGGATATCAAAGCTGCGAGGTTCAGAAACATGCCTTTTGGAAACATCGATAAGGGCGGCCACTACCGCAGAAGGGCTAGGGGTGGAAAAGGCTGAGAGTGACTTCCAAAGCAGCTCATTCGCGCTGCGGTTATTGCCGGAGCGAACAAGGATGTGTAGAAGGACGCAGAAGGAGTTCAATGCGAGGCTATCTAATTCCCGAAGCTGAATCCTTTTGAAGAAGCCCAACGCCGTGGAGGGTTTGTGTTGATACTTCAATAGGTAAGCGATTACCCTATCTTCTGCAAGCTGCTTCCGCGTCAGGAGATCGAAGAAGGGATCCAAGGAAGAGGGTGGCTCCGTGGCATCGGCCAGGGATGGAAGAAAGGATGATGAGTCCGAGAAGAGGCTTAGGGTTCTGAACGAGAGTTGACGCCATGGGGAGCGGACCAAGGAACTCATCACCCTGCCAAATTTTTAAACATAGGTATTTGATTTGTTTTGGCAAAAGAAACTTCAAACATATAGATGGAAGATTTAAACACACCGCACTTATGTATTTACATAACCTAATGTCCAATTTTTCAAAAATATCACTTTACATGAAAAAAAATCATTTCACTTTTTTTTTAAAGTAAAATGAACATATATTCCATATGATATGAAAAGCTTGAATGACATAAATATAGAATTCAAATTAAAAAATTTGATAGGTAAATACATATGAATTGAGTGATATGTATGTAAATGCCCTATCTAATAAACTTGGTGGTTGCAAGAAGGAAAATTATTAGCATGAATTTCAAAGTGATCAAACGATCTAGAATGAATGAGGTTAAATCCAATAATCTGATAGATTTAAAGGGATCGATAAGTCGATCGGCTGAAGATCAACCGGCCAAACTATGAAAAGCCGATCGGATTAAATTCTTCTCAATTATCGAATAATCTCCCTGACCGAAGACAACGACACTAATCGACTTAGGGTCAACTGACTACACTCGAAAGACGCTCGGATTGTCAGAGTCAAAGCCGATACTTGTGATGAATAAATCCACCCAACTCAGCTAAGTCGACCTATCCGAAGGTACACAGATCAGAAAACTTAGACATGTATAGTTGTCAACATTAGTCAATGTGAAAAAGTTTCTATGTCAGTTATGAGTACGAAAGGGTGTCAGAATCAATTATAGATCTAGAAAGATACCCATTTTAGTTATAGTTACGAAAAGGCCCCTAAAAGAGAAAAAATTTGATCTGTAACTCCCCAAAATAAGGGTCAATTCGAGGCAGCCGCAACTGATTAAAAAACAGTTGTGAAGCTACTGAAGAATAATCTAATATTCAAAATGTTACGGTAACCACTACAACTTTTTTTTTCTTTTGAAAAAGTCAAGCCGCAACTAGAAAATCGTCATCGTACCTAGTCAAGAGTGATGGGAAAATGCAAATTTCAGCGTCTGTTTTTTGAAAAAGCTGTCAAAACGTAGTTTACCCAAATAGATAAAGTTGTGATGTGGTGTCACACTGCCACCACGTTGTCGCCCCAAATGGACCCTAAATAATGGCAAATAAAGACTTGTAACTCCCCATTAAAGGGGGTAAAGATTTGAGTTTATCAAGGGTCTCAGATGATTATCAATAAGGATAATTTTATGAATGAAAGGATATACCTTTTTCCCCTGAAATTGTTCATCTTGCATTCCACCAGTCTTTCTTTTTCTCTCTTCTTTAGTTCTTTCTTATGCTTTATCCCTTGAGACATGTTCAAGAGGACAAATAGGGATTCAACATCCTAAAGGTTGGTGTGGTGAGCATGAACACGCCCGAGATGAGAAGTATAGCACGCATTCAAGAAGAAGAAACTAAGAGATGTTGTAAACATAAAGTGCACCTGTGAATTTGTGCAACAACAAATTCAACAACTTAAACATCAAATGATGATCACTATTTGAGAGGTTATTATCCAAAACGTGGAATAACATCCTTTTTTACCAAGATGAGAACCTCGAGAGAAACCACAACTCCTCGAGGAGTCTCCCCGAGGGAAACCCCCAGTGTCTGGCAGACGAAGAATGGACTAGGCACTCCAGAGATATGAAGATCTTCAATACATAAATAGTATTGGGTCTACACTGATGGAAGTACATTAGCCCTTACATGTTGAGACGCACCAAAAAAATCTATTAGAGAAAGCTTTCTCTCTGCAAATCCTGAAGGTCAAACCTCCAAAGAGGTTCAAAGATCCCAACCATGACTCTTACAAGGGTCAATCTGACCTTATCTACCACAACACTACCTTTAAATCGACAGTAGATACGCTTTAAGGTGTTATCACCCAAGGAGTCTTCTGAACAAAGGAAATGAGCCGTTTACTAACAAGGAAGAATTTTTGATGGTAGAATCCCCACCAACATATAACGCCATCTTTGTCGAATAATTATCGAGCGATCACTTTTACCTATCACGTAGCATTCGGGGAGATCATTACAGTCCATGGAAACCTCAAGTAATCTTAGAGTTATTGCATTTGTACAGTCCCCAGTGTGGAGCAGGAGCCACTTGACATCTAGATTCAACTGGAAGGAGGCCTCAAGAGCACTGAAACCACCCTCAAAATTCCTGCCACAATCAAAGAATACAGTTAATTGTTTATGATAAGTGAAACCTTTGATGTAGGTAGTAAGGTATTTTTGATTCTGACCATGCAAGAACCATTCCATTTTTGTGTGGACAGCGGCAGAAATACCATGAATTTTGGTCGACATTGATACACTTAAAATATATAGCATTAATGTACACATTTTATACCTATTTTTGAGGATAATGAGATTTAATGAAAGATATTTATGTGTTTTTCTTTCAGGTATAGTTAAATGGATGAAAAATGGTGAAAGGAGTGAAAAAGGATCAAATTTGGAGCAAATAGGTGAAAATTGGGCAAGAGTGTTTTGGCGTCTAAGTTAGGTGTGTAAATGAATTCTGGCACCTAAGCGCCCAGAACTGGCGCTTACATGCTACAAAAATCGAGAAGGTCGCACCTAAGCGCCAAGTACCTCGCGCTTATGCACCAGAGGTAGTTATTTGATGATTCAATGAATTTGGACAAATTTTTGAAGGGGTTTTTGAAGCAACTCTTGGTGAAAACATGGTTTATAGTTAATGGACACGAAAATACATTCAAATGACATTGAAAGAAGACAACTCTTGGAATATTCATTGAATGTGGACATATTTTTGAAGAGACACCAAAGCACCTTTTGGAAAACTATAAAAAGAAGGACTTGTTGAAGAACCCTACCCCCCTTTCCCTTTGTCACCTCTCATCATAGATTAATTAGGATAGTTTTAGAGAGATGAAAGAGAGAGTTGTAAGAGAAAGGAAGAAAGGAGATTCAAAGGAACATCGAGGGTTTGGTGGAGAGGAATTGAGATAAGGATTTATCTTTTTGAGTACATTTAGTTTTAATTTAGACTTATTGTGTGTTTTCATGATTTCTACTTTTAAACTTAAGTGTTTTTGTGTTTTCTCCATGAATTCTGAGTATTTTTATTTTTAATTTTCCTTAAAATTATAAGTAATTAAGTATTGGATGGAAATTGAGGGAAGTATTGATCTTTAATGCTAGAATAAGTTGTGATAATTTAATCATGGTACTTCATTTACTTCTTGATTTAGCCAATTAAGATGTTAATATCTGTTGTGAGAACATATAAGATCCAAGATGGTATTGTCTCAGTCAACAAATGATAAGAATCACATAAGATTGTATGGATGAGAATGTAATTCATATGGTTCAGTGCAAATAAATAAGGATATAAAATTTGAAGGGTGTAGAGTTAGAGGACTTTAGAGTGACAGGCTAAAGCCCTTAATTTTTATTATTTTAGGTCATGATACGAGATGTTAGCCCCCAGGTGGAGGGAGAAGAGGGAACTCTAGATTGAGAGCTAGTATCTTCCCTACCTAGCCTGTCTTCAAGAGTATTCAAAATTTAAATTACCCAATATTTTTTATAGCATCTCTAGTAAGGGTAAAGAAAAATATTGCTCATATTTGGTACAATAAAATTTGAATACTTCCACAACAGAATATATTTGTTACTGATTCATGATAAGAAAAAAGATCTTTTATTTATATTTCGTTCATCTTAAAAATATCTAGTTAAATTTAGTTATTTGTTTACTTTATTTTCAATTATCAAAAATTACCAAAAAGAATTGAACTTTCATTTCTATAGTATCTATAGTTTGAGTAAGAATTTTTTTCAAAATAGAGTTTGTTATCTAATTTATTCTGAAAAAGATTGTCATTCTCCTTGTGGGTTCGACATTCGAGGCTTAATCAAAAAGTCTTATATTACTTGATAGTGATACTTATACTTGCGTAGTATCCCAATATTTCAATTTAATAGTTGCACTCTTATTTACTTTGGAGTCAAGTTTTTTGTGTCATTGTAAGGGAAGAAATATAAATAAAAAAATTGAGAATATAATCACACATACTTCGTAGTACTGTCGTAAAAGTCGAAATCAAGTTTTGGCGCCATTGCTGGGGACAATTAAAGAAAATTTGAAGGAATTTTTAGGAAAGCAAATTTCTATTTTTAGAAAGTCTTATTTAAACTCTTAGATTTATTATAGGAATATTGTAGTGTTATTTTTATATAATTTCTTGGTTGTGTGATTTTATTTTATGTTATTTTGTAGAAATGTATGTGTAGTTCATGTTCTAAAGGACTAGTGTCCTATGATTTTGAATTAGAAAACTCAAAAAAATCAAAAATACAGAAAAAGATAAAAAATTTCAAGAAATGGAAAACCCAAATAATTAAAATATTGAAATTAATTAAGAATTTGACCTTTAAGAGATTATGCAAATCATACAGTAGATGAACTTCATTGTAGTATTCAAAAACCTGCTGTAGTGCTAATTCATTTGAACTTAAACCTATTATTATCCAAATGATATCAAATAATCAGTTTGGGGGAGCAACAACTGAAGATCCAAATTTACATCTTTCCAATTTTCTAGAATTGTGTGCTACATTTAAATATGATGTTGTTTTGGATGATGCTATAATACTTAGAATTTTTCTATTCTCACTGAGGGATAAGGTTAAGATATGGTTAAATTTGTTAGCATCTGAATCTATCAGAACTTAGGGTGATTTGGAGCAGAAATTCTTTCTTAAATATTTTCCATCATTAAAAACTGTGAAGTTTAAATATGATATTACATCTTTTTGTCAGTTTGAGGGGAATCTATTTATGAAGCGTGAGAACGATTAAAAGAACTACTGAGAAAGTGTCCACACCATGTTATACTAGATTGATTAATAATTCAAACATTTTACAATGGATTAGCTAGATCTCTTAGATCTATTATCGATGCCGCTGTTGGTGGTTCATTGATGTCAAAATCATTTCATGACACTTATGCTTTAATTGAAGAAATGGCTACCAATAATTTTCAATGGCCTTATGAGAGGATAAATCTTAAGAAAGT